GACTCCTGCAATGAACAAATTAACTTAATACACAAGGGAGACTTGAGTGTTTTCTGCAAATTCACACTTTTATTGTGTCATAAATATAAAAAAAATATAATAAAATACAAAAATTAAATAAAAAGACAGAAAAAGAATCAAATCATTTATCGCTACCTCTCTATTTCTTATTACATTATAATAAAAATAACTCACATATTTATAGAAAAATTAACAAACAAAGTTAAAAAAATATAAATACAATGAAAACAAATAAGATACACAATATTTGACATAATATTATATCTATTATTATTTTCAAACATATCTATATTTACCTCCAATCATTGTTTTTTTAATATTTCAACAATAAAGTCATTCAAACATAGAAATCATCACATATATGCATGTATATACAGGGACGGACTTACATACATGTGAATGGGGTCCCATGCCCCCATAGCTATATTTAAAAAATAATAATAATTTAGTTATAAATTTTTATAGATTTTAATAAGAAACCAAACGTGCCCCCTCATATTTTTAATGTGGATCCCCTTTTATTTAGATTTTTGAATATTTTCCTTAAACATGTCTCCACTTTTATCTAATTACTTTTTATGTTTAGGTGAAACCGTTATAATTTTTATATCATTATTTTATATTTTTTATTTCTCTCTCTCCTCCCCTTTCTCTCTTTCGCTCTTTCTCCCATTGGATAAAAAAATAAACAAAGTAGCAATACTGAGATCAAAGGTACGTTTATGATTTTAGTTTTTATTTGTTTATCTGTTTTTATGTATGTTTTAATCATACGAATTAATTTAATATTATATATTTATTTATTTTTGTATTTGATTTGACAGAAAAATTAATGGATAAATTTCTCAAAAAAATTTTTGCATCGATATCTCAAAATAATGGTGAAATTCCAATCGAGAATGTATCAAATTCTCAGGTTAGTCTCTCAATACCTGAAAAAATTGATTTGGATGATTTGCATTCGGATCCAGCTGATAGGAAAAAAATATTAGAGTATAATCCTAATCAGAGAGATGAGATAAGACACAAATATTTGATTAGGGGACCTTGTCAACCACGTGGTCATGACTTTCCGAAGAAGATGATAGAAAATAAATTGAGGCGATTTAATCCAGCTTGGTTTGACCAATACAATGATTGGTTAGAGTATAGAATAAAGAAGGATAAAGCATTTTGCTTGTGTTGCTACTTGTTTAGAGAACAAGTTGGGAATGATGCTTTTGTGTCAGATGGTTTTTCAAGTTGGAATAAAACCGAGAGGTTGGCTTTTCATGTGGGTGATGTCAATAGTTTTCATAATAATGCACGCAAAAAGAGTGATGATTTGATGAGGCAAAGTCAATCTATCATACACCAACTAAGATTTCGGCAAAGTTGATAGCATTAAGCACAAAACATCAAACTCATGGAAGAAAACGCACATAAGCAAAGTGATACGATGAAAAACGAGTATCTTATTCGGTTGAATGCCTCAATTAGTTCTTCTAGATATTTGTTGTATCAAGGACTACCGTTTCGAGGCCACGATGAGTCAGAAATTTCTGATAATAAAGGAAATTTTCTGGAACTTGTCAAATATACTGCAGAACAAAATGATGGTTTGAGTAAGGTTGTTTTGAAGAATGCTCCGGGGAATAGTCAGATGGTTTCTCCAAAAATCCAGAAAGATATTGTACAATGTTTTGCAGAACAAATTACCCAAGACATAATTTAGGAGATTGGACATGATGTGTTTGGGTTGCTGGTGGATGAGTCTAGTAATGTTTCTGATAAGGAGCAGATGGCAGTAGTTTTTCGTTTTGTTGACAAGAACAGGATAGTGAAAGAGAGATTTATTGATCTTGTTCATGTGAAAGAAACATCTGCTTTATCTATGAAGTCTGACATTGATTCTTTGTTTGTTAAATATGGTTTGAGTTTAAAAAAGGTCAGAGGGCAAGGTTATGATGGGGCAAGCAATATGAAAGGTGAATTAAATGGATTGAGATCGTTGATCTCAAGAGAAAATAAATCAGCATATTATATTCATTGTTTTGCTCACCAACTTCAATTGGTCGTTGTAGCAGTTGCAAAAGAGCTATTTGATGTTGGAAATTTTTTCGACATGATTTCAGTTTTGTTGAATGTGGTTGGAGCTTCCTGTAAAAGAAAAGATATGATTCGAGAAAGTTATCGAACGAAAGTGAACGAAAGTGAACGAAGGAATTAATAGTGGAGAGATTAATACAGGAAAAGGGTTGAATCAAGATATTACTCCTCAGAGACCTGGAAATACGCGTTGGAGATCTCATTACAAAACACTATTGCGTTTGGCTGGGTTATTTTCTTCTGTCATTGAGGTGCTTGAGTACGTTGAGAATGATGGCACTGATACAGTTAAAAGACGTCAAGCATATGGTCTTCTCAAATATTTCTACACATTTGATTTTGTGTTCCATCTACAGCTGATGTTGCTCATTCTGGGATTCACAGATAATTTATCGATGGCTTTACAAAGGAAAGATCAAGACATTTTGAATGCTATTTCATTGGTGAAATCTACAAAGAGACAATTACAACAACAAAGAGATGGTGGATGGAATTCGTTTCTGGATGACGTGTATTCTTTTTGTGAGAAACACAATATTGAAATGATCAATATGGAGGAAGATTATGTTGATTCAAGGAAGCCAGGAAAAAAGAGCAATATAAGCAACTTACATCACTATCAGGTAGATTGTTTCTATATTGTTATGGATTTGCAGCTTCAAGAACTTAATGATCGATTTGACGAGATAAATTCAGAACTGCTCATTTGCATGACATCTTTGAGTCCTGCTGACTCATTTCGTGAGTTTAGCATGCCAAATCTGGTGAAATTGGCTGAATTTTATCCGGACGATTTCAGTTTTTGGAGAAAGTGTCTCTTCGACATGAACTTAGTATTTCCACATCGACAATTTGACGAAAGATGATCGATTTTCTAATTTGACTAATCTTGTAGATCTTGCTCGTCTTATGGTGGAAACAAAGAAACATCTTTCATATCCATTGGTGTACAAACTTTTGAAGTTGGCTCTTATTTTGCCTGTTGCCACCGCGACTGTTGAGAGATGCTTTTCAGGGATGAAATTTGTGAAGACAGCTTTACGCAATCGGATTGGTGATCAGTTTTTGAGTAATTGTCTAGTTTGTTTCATTGAAAAAGATATATTTCAGACAATTACAAATGAAGTTGTTATGGATAAATTTCAAAAAATGAAGAACCGTAGAATTCAGTTGTAAAACATAAACTACTTTATGACGATTTATTTTTATTAATGTTTTTTTTATATTTTATATCATTAATAATTGTTGTCCCCGGTGAAAAAATATTCTGGGTCTGCCCCTGTGTATATACATATTTTATATATATACATATGTATGAGTATATATATGTAATAATGTAAACCTATGTATATGTATATATATACCACTATTATATGCAATTATCAAAATATATTTTGGAGATATAATGAAGCATGTCCTGATGGCTCCTGGATACTGACTGGCGCTCGCACAAACAAAATCCAACAATTTTAGTTGGTCCTATCTTGCACGTCTCTGCCATTAGGACAAGACCAACCCATATGGAGATACAAAAACGAGAAGTTGAAGCCTATGTTCTCGTCTACAAGTACATGCCAACTTATCAGAAATCGCAGCCCCGTTGTTGATTGGCACAATATGGTCTGGACAAAATTCTCGACCCCTCGGCTAGCCTTCCTCTATCGGGAGGTTATGCTTCAAAGACTCCGCACTAAGGATCGTCTGAATAGATGGGAAATCCACACTGATCCTGATGTGTCATCTGTGGTAATGAAGATGAAAATCACTCTCACCTATTCTTAATTAAATTGCAGCCTTGGCAGGTCCATTTGGGAGCAGTTTGCGAGTAAATGATGGCCCCTACTACCTTCGGACCTCCGCAGGTGCCACTTGTGGATCATACAACCTGCCCATGACAATTCCTGTAACAAAGTGCTTATTGCTAAGATCCTCCTCCAGCATGTAATCCATCGAATTTGGAAGGAAAAAAATCATCGAATCTTCCGTGAATAAGCGAGAAGCAATTCAAAAATAACCGACCACATTGATCGCGGCATGCGAAACGTTCTCCTCTCCATCTACAAGCCGCCTGGCACAATGACTGAAGCACATGAGGGTGTTTTCTTGAACGTATACTTTATTTGTGTTTTTCAAATTGTTAGTCGATCAACGATAGAATATAATCTTAGTTTGTACCTATTAAAATGCTATAATATAGACAAGACTTTGTTGGGGTGGTTCATCATTTTATTAAGGAAAAATCTCATATTTTCTACGAATTTTTATTAATGTTTCCAATTTTTACATCAACTTTTAATTTGACAAAAACTTATATAAAAGTTCAAAATTTTCCAAACTCTCATACCAAATCGCAAAATGTGTTACAATTTCCCACATACCCGCAAATACGAATCATTTAAATCACAGAAATTCAAATTCTGTAAACCAAAATCGCTTAAGTAACTGAAATCCATAAACCGGAATCCCTAAAGTCAATGCAAACCAAAATCCCAAAATCTTATGGTTATGTGAAAAATTGTAACATATTTTGCGATTCAGTGTGAGATTTTAGAAAAAATAGAATTTCTATATTAATTTTTGTCAAATTAAAAATTGGAATTAGGAACATTAACAAAAATTCATGGGGAAATATGAGATTTTTCCTTTTATTAAAAATTAGGTGAAGCTGGTCATAATAAATCCAAGGGAAAATGTATCCAATGACTAAAATGTGATGTTAAAGGGTAAAACATAAATATTGGTTAATAATTATATATTGATTGCCAAGAGAAAGTTGCACCATGACTAAAATGTGATGGTGATCTTGGCTCTATATATATAGCCCCGTTGAGTTGCCAAGATTTGCAGCACCATTCGAGACACCAAATTTGTTCTTAGAAACACACTAAGCAATGGAGTCCTTCAGCGTAGAAAGAGAAATCAAACGTCCGTTAGCCGATTTTCCAGCCAATATTTGGGATAATCCACTCATCTTCTTCTCTATTTCGGATTCGGTAATCATTCGTATTCTCGGAGATATATTCACGTCGGTTTTTTGTCATAACATTAAACCTTATCAAAATGTTAACGATAATACAATTATAACTCTGGTACACAAAATAATTATGTAACTTGCAGTTCTAGCTGAAAATAAAATTAAGTTACTTATTCTTTGTCTATTGTTTTATTTGAATAATGTTTTTATACGTGATTTTATTCGTAAACAACTAAGCATCAATCATGCCATTGGTAGGGAGGTGATGCGTACAAAGAGAAACATAGCGCGCTGAAGGGGCAAGTGATGGAAATGCTTATGGCCTCCAAAGCTAATCCCGTAGAAAGCCTTAAGCTCATTGATGTGTTATGTCGTCTTGGAGTATCCTACAATTTTGAAAAAGAGATAGAAGATCAACTCAATACGGTTTTCGGTATTCGTGACCTAAATGACACGATAGGTGACGAAAAATATGATTTATCTACCGTTGGAATTATTTTCCAAGTTCTTAGGCAATTTGGCCATAAACTCTCTGCCGGTAAGATCACAGTTTTGCTTAAATCTTTCTTTTAGCTGAAACGTTATATAAATTCAATGAACCAATAAATGTGCATGTGAAAATTACGCGTTCAAGGTTATAGATTTTTATATATTGGCCGTGTTAACTAATCAAAGGTCTATATGTCTAAAGATGTGTTTGAAAGGTTCAGAGATGAAAATGGAAAGTTCAAGGAAAACTCTGGAGTCGATGCTAAGGGCATGCTAAGTTTGTACGAAGCTGCACATTGGAGCACTCATGGCGAAGATATTCTAGATGAAGCTCTCATTTTCTCGAAATCTCGTTTGCAAGTGTTGGCTTCTAAATCCAGCCCCCATATCCGAGAGCGCATAAAAAACACTCTAAAACATCCATACCCCAGGGGAATTACGAGGATAGAGACGAGACAATATATATCGTATTACCAAGAAGAAGTACCGCACGATGAAACGTTGCTCAAATTTGCTAAGTTGGATTTTAACATACTACAACTGCTACACCGTGAAGAACTCGCCTATGCGACTAGGTGATATGATTATATATGCATATAAGAGACTTGTTGCTCACCGGAGATTTCTTACACTTTGACTTTTAGCACAAATGATTTAGTTTCTCTCAATTTTCAGGTGGTACAAAGATTTGAAGACCGATTGTAAAGTACCATATGCTAGAAATCGGATAGTTGAGTGCTACCTGTGGGCACTTGGAACATATTTCGAGCCGCAATATTCGCGGGCACGAATTATAGTGGCAATTACTATACAATTATTAACAATTCTTGATGACACATATGATGCTTATGGCACGATGGAGGAACTTGAACTTTTCACAGATGCATTGAACAGGTGCTTATGGTACAAGATTTGGTTTTCCTGTTTTGCTTGAGGCATTCCACAGTATTTATGAGCAAATCATGTATAAAAAGTGGAACTCGATCTAATATGGATAAGATGGAGGGTATTTGTATCATACGTAATATAGGATACGTACTTTGCTTATATAAACACAAGATTTATCATTGTAATGTAATGGAGGATTCTTATGCAGGTGGCTTCCTACAGCCCCCGAAGAGTTACCGGATAATATGAAGTATTTCTACAGTATTCTGGTAGATTATTATGACAAACTCGAGGAGGAGATGGAGAAAGAAGGAAGATCGGGATGTGGATTCCATGTGAAAAAATCTGTAAGAAAAACCGAACCTTAGTCCTATAAATCTCTCAACTTCCATACAATCATCACTTGGTTTGGTTTCACATTCAGTTGTTGGAATTTTCGCTATCAGATAAAATCATTGGGGAGTAGCTACTACCAAGAGGCGAAGTGGTCAAATGAAGATTACATAGCCATGTTTGATGAATACAAAGAGAACGGAGTTTTTTCCAACGGCTACTATTCAACGGTAGCAACATCCTTTGCAGGAATGACTGATGTTTGCAAACTTGATGTCTACGAATGGTTAAGCTTACAGCCGAAAGTCCTCGTAGCTTCTGAAATAATTACTCGATTCATGGACGACATTACAAGCTACGAGGTACTCATCCTCAATTCATAAATTATGAAAATTTTCAAACAAATTCAAATCCCATTCATCAAAATGTTGAAAGAAAAATGAAACTCACGATGGATCTGTACTTTACATCCCATGATTGCAGTTTGAACATAAACGAAAACATGTCGGAACAGCAATCGATTGTTATATGAAACAATATGGTGTTTCCAAGGAAAAAGCCACAGAAGAGATTGAAAGGATTATCTCAGAGACATGGAAGGATCTGAACCAAGAACTAATGAGGCCTTACTCTATGCCTCGTCCTATCCTAATCCGAATTCTTAACCTCACACGGGTTATTGAGGTATTCTACAAGTACCAAGATTCCTACACCCACCCGGAGTTCTTGAAGGATTATGTCGTCTCCTTATTCACCGAAAGCATTCCCGTGTGAGGGTGGTTTCAGCAAACTCTGGGAATTTCATACAACCACTCTCTACTTAAAGATTCTACATAGCTATCATAAGAAATAATATCCCAGAATGTTTTTTTTTTCCTCTTATAATTGCACTATGTGAAATAAGTGGGTGGACAGTTCATGCTTTCTGCATTCCTCCATCTTTACTCCAGTTGATATGTATTTCTAAATAAATCGAGGTTATCCATTTCATCATTTGGTTGCTTTGGTCGATTCCATCAAACATCGAATAGTTCTCTTCTCTAGAATCTTTTTATGTGGGAGTGTATCTAAAAGAGCAACACGAAAATTTCGAGTTAGATATCATAGTTGAGATCAGTGTAAAACATAAGATGTTGCAGTAAGAGGGAAAGCATAAGATGGAAAATCATTCTGGGATTTGGTTCCGGCGGCTAGAGGAAGTTGGGCTTGGCGCAAACTACTCAAAATTCGCGAAATCGCTAGACCTTTCCTGAGATGCAAATTAGGGAATGGTGAGAAATGTATGTTTTGATTGGATTCTTGGTTGCCGTAGGGACCACTCATCAAATTTATTGGTGAAGGCGGCTCCCGATAGTTGAGAATACCCCAGGATGCTCACGTCTGTGCTGCTTTTAATCACGAAGGGTGGACTCTACCATCGGCACGAAGTATGGCAGAGGAGGCCCTTCACTTGGCCTTGCTATAGATTGGACCCCCCCTCTTCTACGGCAGGAAATGATTCTTTCTATTGGTCTCCGACACATCGGACAGAGGGGCATAAGCCTTTCACCACTGCGATGGCATGGAGATTTATTCATCATGCACAACCACATGTTGCATGGTATAAAACTATATGGTTTGCAAATGTTGTCCCCAAACACTCTGTAACTGCTTTTCTGTCTGGTATGCCAAGGCTTCTTGTACGTAAATGAGGTTGCTTTAATATATTTACCGTTAACAGGTACTTCCATCAGATGTGTCTTCTGGTATGGTTTTATTGTATTAGTCATCTAACGTAAAACTTGAATTTCATGTTCTTATATCTATTTATCTTACTCTCTAATTACATATATAATCTAAAACCACAAAACAAGAAATCAAAAGTCGCATGTTTTTTAAGATCACGACGGTGTTTGGCAATATTTTGAGAGATTCGTGTATTTGGTTATAATTCGTAAGAGTTCATGTGTTAATTTGATAGTTTTAAATCAAGTTACTATATTTTTTTATATTAATATCTGGTTTACCTTTTAAAAGCCATGTAAACTATAGCTTAATAACCGTCCCATGCATGGAATAATATCAATCAAAAAAAATCTACACAAATGGAAAATGACTTACTTATTTTGGAAATCGTTTTGCCCTATGTAAATTATTACCAAAAAAGAGGGAAATATATCAAAATACTTCACCTAGAGCTCGAATCCTACATCTCTCGCTTTGGAGTTTTTTCTTTTAATTTTTTTTTAAAAAAAATTAAAGTATTTTATTATTAGTAATAATTTAACAAATTCTAGACTAAATATTTTTAGATTAGTTGAATTTCTCCGAATCGACCGTTTACTTATCAATCGGTAGAGATTAAAAGGATAAATTACGGTTCCATAATCAGCACTCTGCACCCGCATATACATATATACGGCACGAAATAGTTAAGAAAACTTGATTGAATTAATTATATAGTTGATTTGGAATGATATGCGGGAATAGATTTATTTTAACGGCCGACTAACAACCCAACTTGTAGCATATAGAAATGGGATTTATTCAAAGCAACGTTATTGAATTTGAATAGTCAAATACTTTTTCATTCTTGTCGCTAGAAACAGACAAAAAAAGAGACGTAATTCGAATAAAAAGCGGCAAAATGGAAAATTATGCAAATTTTTATTCATAAATTGATGGCCAAGGGAGAGCAATTCTCAGCAAATGCGTTGGCTACAACGTGTGTGTATATGTATATATATATGTATTTCGTTACAGCCTAGATTTTGGTTTTAGATTAATGTTTTGTTTATTCTCGTACGTGAGCATAACATGTATAGTAAATGTGCATGCACACATGCAATTTTACATAGCGTCCTTCTTCTCCTCCCACAGAAATTATTATGAAAACATAAACTTCAAATCGAGTAAAAAACAGAAATAAATTAATGTTTGGTGATTTTAGTACGTTCGTTGAAATATATACCAAATATATATATATACACCTTTAATTGAAATAATTAAGATGTAAATAAATCTATCTTGAAGAAACGTGTTAGAGTATGCGTTTGGTTACGACCATTTTAGTTTGTTTAGGGTTCTAGATAAAATTTGTCTGGATTTATTTCCATTCACTTCTGCAGTCGAAGAACAAATTCTTCATTAATTACCAAAAAAAAAAAATTCTTCATTTAAATCAATAGCAATAGGGAAAAATTGTTCTGATGCATCATTCATTTGATTTCAATATATTCTTATTCGGGAGTAAGCTCTAATTTCAATTTTTATGAGATGATTATAATAGGCAACTTACTATATTGACGGGATTTGATTTTAAATCTGATTTGTATATTTCCTTATTCTTCTAACAGCATTGTATATATATATCCTTGTAAATCCTTCTGAAATATTATGCGAATATTTTTCCAAAAACCTAAACTCGTTTATGGTATCAGAGCCCATCGTCACACGACATTAATTCGATTCCGACGCCACCATCTCTTCTCTTCGTCGATCTGTCGTCGCCATGGCTGCCGCCAACGCATCCTCCAGCGCCACTGGCCTATCCACCGACACGGTTACCCCTTACAGTTCCGACAGTCCGTTGATCAATGTCAACGTCACCAACGTGGCAAAACTCACAGCCACAAACTATCTAACTTGGAGCATTCAGATTCGTGCTCTTCTCCAAGGATATGATCTCGATGGCTTTCTCGACCCGACACAAGCTCTTGCTGTCTCAATCATTGCCAACAATGTCTCCTCTCCGAATCCGGCGTACAAGCCATGGTTCCGTCAAGACCGACTGGTCTTCTCTGCACTACTCGGCTCAATCTCTGCCGAATGCCAAGCACTTGTGGCATCCGCCACAACCTCCGCTACTGCATGGACAACGCTTCTCCAGACATATGGTCGTTCAAGTTGAGGACATGTCAAACTCATCAAGGATCACATGCGCCGCTACACAAAGGGAGCAAGATCTGTTGACGAATACATGAATTTCTTCAAGGTAAAAGCCGACGAACTTGCACTCCTCGGCAAACCCATGGATCACTAGGATCTCGTTGATCTTATTCTTGGTGGCCTTAGTGACGAGTACAAGCCAATCAAAGACATCGTCCAAGCCCGGGACACACCCATCTCTTTTGTCGAGCTTCACGAGAAACTCCTCACCCATGACATTGATCTTATCGCCGTCGCTCCGCTCCCCGATTTACCTATCTCGGCGAACACCGCACAATCTGGCCCCGGGAACACTTGGCGTCCACAGTCCCAATCCGGTCCTCGGCAATATTCGCACTCACGCTCAACTCGGGGAAACTTTTCCTCGGCTCGTGGTTCATGTGGTCGATCTCGCGGCTACCTCGGAAAGTGCCAGCTATGTGGCACACAAGGACACAGTGCACGTACGTGCTCCTCCCGACCATGTCTTTATCTTCCTCGGACCAACAGTCGGTTGCATCTTCATGGCAACCCTCGGCCAATCCGGCCTCCACTCAGCCTACGGCCAATCCGTCTTGACTACTTGATTCGGGCGCCTCTCATCATGTGACAACCGACCTAGCCAACCTCTCTCTCCATTCGCCATACCAGGGTGACGATGCTGTCATCATCGGGGATGGTTCTGGCCTTGCGATTACACACACCAGTTCTTCGTCCCTTCCCTCTCATTCTCGCTCTCTTATACTTGATAATGTTCTTCTAGTACCTTCTATGAATAAAAATCTACTTTCAATTCATCAACTTTGCCGCTCTAACCATGTTTCAGTGGAATTCTTTGCTCGTTTCTTTCAGGTGAAGGATCTAAACACGGGGGCGGCGTTAGTAACCGGACCACTTCATAATGGTGTGTATGCTTGGCCGAATTCTCCCGTTCCATCGTCCCTTTCAAATAAATCCTCGGTCCTTGCGCTTTCAAGCGTCAAGACGTCTCTCTCTGAATGGCATTCTAGACTAGGTCACCCGTCTAAAGACACTTTGCATTCTATTGTCTCTCGTTTTTCTTTACCGTTGTCGAATAATCGAGTTTTACATTGTGAACCATGCTCTATTAATAAAAGTCATAAGCTTCCATTTTCTACATCGTCTATTTCTTCGTCTCGTCCTCTTGAAATTCTATATTCCGATGTATGGAGTTCCCCAATCAGCTCTTTTGATGGTTTCAAATACTACGTTATTTTTGTCGACCATTTCACCCGATATACGTGGTTATATCCTCTTCGTCGAAAATCTCATGTTCACAATGTTTTTACTCGGTTCAAACCTCTTGTTGAAAATCGTTTTAACACAAAAATCGTCACATCTATTCCGACAACGATGGAGAGTTTCTTGCACTTAAAGACTTTTTATCGTCTCATGGCATATCCCATTTTACAACCCCTCCTCATACACCCGAACACAACGGTCTTTCCGAACGAAAGCACCGTCACATTGTTGAAACGGGTCTCACCCTCCTCACGCGAGCGTCCATTCCTCCCAAGTTTTGGATTTTTGCCCTTCCCACGGCTGTGTATTTAATCAACCGCCTCACCACAACCGTTCTTGGCCATCAATCCCCTTTCGAACTTCTCTTCTTCTCCACACCGAACTACGCTAAACTTCGTACATTCGGCTGTCTTTGTTTTCCGTGGCTACGCCCATACTCACGTCACAAACTTGATCCTCGATCGACACCTTGTGTTTTCGTCGGATACTCTTTGACACAAAGTGCCTATCTTTGCTTTCATGTAGCCACGTCTCGTATTTATGTGTCTAGACACGTCGAGTTTGTCGAGCATGAGTTCCCTTATTCTCGGATCCAATCCGGGTATCCACCTACTCTTCCATCTTCCTCCGCTTCTTCTTCCTCCGTGTCCTCTCTTGTTCCCGTTTGGCCTACTGCATACACACCGTGATGGGTCGCACGGGGACCTCGAGCACCGGTTCACAACCGGTCTCGGGTCTGGTCCGCGGGCTTGCGCAGCGGAATTGGCGTTCAAAACGA